ATATATATATATATATTTCAATAAATATTACGAGAGAGATTTATTAAGTATGTGAAATTATTGAATTTTGTGGATTTATAATAAATTTTCCCTAATAAAAAGTATATTAAAAAATGAGTCATAAAATTATTCTTAACATTTCTCTTTGATAAATTATTTCAATCAAGTTATAAGCTAGTTTAATGAAAATAAAAATATGTGACAAATAAGTCTGTTTTACTACTTAATTAATAGTTTTATAGTGTTGTAATAATGTAAATTGATATAGTTTATGCTCACTTATTATCAAATAGTTGTGCCGCATAAGTTGATTTCATCTGACTTGAAAGCTAAAATTACATAAACTAATTCGTTTTTTCTAAAAAAACATTATAAAAAGTTTATTAATTAGAACGTACATGGACAGGATTAGGCAAACTGGGATCTTTTGCATGCCCAGGCTATGTTTTAAAGGAATCTCCATGCATGTTATCAAGTTTCTTTATGAGTTAGTTAAGTTTTTATATATATATGTTCTTATTCCATATTTTAAAGACACTATGATTTACAATCAAATGGACAAATATATCGTGTCTTATCCACAACTTTGTGGAGATCAATTGTACAATTTTACTTGGAACATCAGGCTAATCATCAAGCATCTAACACAATTTTGTGGGTTAAATCAACCCTCTCAATTAATGTATCATGTTAATTAATGTACCTTCGTTTTTAGAAGAGGAAAACATATTATTCAAAATGTCTGATTTGGTTGCATATTCTTCTGGTACTAGACGATAGAATTAAAGCCTCATTTTGTAGTGGTTATTAATTAGAACTAATTTTCATCAAATTTTATTTTCAGATTGCTGTATTAATTAATCTGAAAATATATATATATATATATATAAAGACCTAAGATAGACTTATGCCTTGTGACATTAACTTTTTGCTTTTTTGTACAAGTTTTCTAATCTGTATAATTCATTTGTCTTTAAAAATATATTATTCAATAAATTAAAGCATCCAACAAAATATAGTTATTATTCAAGATTTGGTTATTGAATAGAATAATTTGTTGTAACACTCGGTCATTAAGTTAACAAACAACTTATAACTTAAACATGTGGCAGTCAAAGATTCATATATATACACAATTTAATATTTCAGAAGATTAGTCCTTAATTTTTGATTAAGTGATACTTTTTTTAAAAGAAAAAAACGCTTGAAAAAAAAGAAGAAAAATCCGGACCCATTTATTGGAAACGTTAATAGATATGTTTAGGGCAAATTTCTTTCATGATTTTTATCACATTTGAAGATTTGAGAGGAAAATTTTTCAAGACTAAGTCTAATTCGATAATATATAACTTATGATCGAGTTTATTCAATTTATTAACAGTAGATATCAAATTTAATATTATAAATACATAATTAAATTATAAAATTAAAAAAGTATAAAACCAAAATATATAATTTAGAACACATTTCACAAAAGAAAGAAATATTATAAATAGAATATCATGTTATGTGAAATATTATGTATAAAGTCAATAAATTATATTATTAATACATAATAAATGAAAAAGTTATATATTGTAAAAATATATAGACATTGAGTTGGATTGAGATGACTAAAATTATAATTATAAAATTTATATTACATGTAATTTGTAAATCTCAATTCCCAACAAAATGAACTTTAGATAGAGACAGGGTAATAAAAAAAAAAGTCATAAATACTCTTATAATTTCTGATTCTGTAACATTTGTGAATATATAATACGTCAATTTCTTTTAAAAAAAATTAAAATAATTATTTAAAAATATATAATATTTATTTCTTAAAAAAATTAAAGTAAGCAATTTAAAATCTTAGACAAACACACTATTTTCTTTATTTATTAAAATGTATTTTTTTAAAAATGTTTAAACAAACATACTCAATATCCAATAACATGGCATGCATGCAAACATTAAGTTTAATAAATTATTATCAATTATCATTAACTAAAACTCTGAGTCTAAGGAATATTTAAACAGATCTTATGTTTTCGATAGATTTAGAAAATTATTATTGAACTTTGAGTATAAAGAATATTTAACCCCTATACAACTTGAACCACATGTGAATGAGTGAATGTGAATCCATTATCCTTTTATTATGGTTTAATTCCATGACAAATAGAACCCAGCCCAAATAGGGTTTCTCGTTGGGCTAACTATTAATCATCATAATTTTACTTTCACCTAACCTCGGCCTATATAATCAAACATTAAAATTTATGTGCTGTCCAAGGCCTATTTCACTGGTATTAATTTTAGAGTTAATTACCTATACATTATTAGTGTAAAGTTTTTTTACATTGACAACTAATTATATCTTTTAATTATGTCATGTCACTGTAAACACATTTACTTTTAACAGTGACATGACACAATTAAAAGATATAATTAGTTGCCAGTGTAAAATTTTTTTACACTGACAGTGTATAGGTGATTAACTCTTAATTTTAACTCGTGTTTTTTTAATCAGTAAAAAATACAATAATAACAACATGTTTGAGCTTAGGATCATGAGTTTTTTTTTGTTGTTTTTTTTTATATTATAAATAGTATTTTTTTTTTCATTCTGAATAATTACATACTATTTCATATATAGTTTTAAAATAATCCTTCACTAAAAGTTAGCAATTTCTTTAATCTATGATTAGATGACAATCTTAAATTTTTTTTGCGTACAATATATTATAATTAAATTCTAAAGTAGATAAAAACTAGAGATGAATATATTTATAACATGACTTCCATATATAACTTTATTCATAATGATTATTCATTTCAATGTTGACACTAAGAATTTTATAGCTTTGAAAGTTGACATGGCTGAGAAGAAGACAAATAATAATGCTTGTGGGAATCATAGGCTATCTTAATAAAATCTCGGAATATATTTCTTTATAATCAATATGGAATAAATAAATACTAGTAAATGGTAAAAGCTCATGATTGATTGTATATTTGTATATATTCAGCAATATTATGTTCCCTGAGCAATTTCTTTTTCTTTTTCTAAGAGAACTTTTCGTCCTTTCATTTTTAATGTGGTTTTGGATACTGCATGTAAGGATTAATATTCTGTGTGTCTCGTATCTTAAAAAGCAATAGAAAAGGGCAAATTATTAAAGGGCATAAGTTATTTATGGCTGTCATTTCCTTTCCTTCGTTTTCTCTGGATGAGAAGAAGAATATGATATTAATTGAATTATAGTTATTGATGGCTCAAAGAGTAGCAATTTGTACAGTTCTGTACTTCACCCCAATTTGTGATGCCAGGATCCGCCATCGCAATTCTCTTTTTCTTTTCCAGCTAACATTCTTCACTACACATTATACCAATGTTAATAAGGTCATGATCGAGATATTCGACTATATATACTAGAGCCTTAATCTTCTTCTCTAATTCATGTTTATCAACTCCTATCTAGTAGCACATTTAATCTTCTTGTAAAGTTGTAATGTGCTCCGTGCAATTGGACTAAAGTACCTCTCTTACATACCCTTTTCAATAATAACACATAAATAACAATTTGGATGATCTAATATTACTTGAAGGGAGTAAAGGTAAATAAATAATTTTAATTATTAATAAAAAAAACCAATGATTATTATTTTTTTAACACTGTAAGTGTAAAGTATCATTAATTTTATCATGATTAATTTTTGACTACTCTCTTTTTAATAGGGTTTCCTATCTAAACTATTTTTCTTTATTTTCTGTTTACAAGTTTCAAACTTGAAACTTCACTTAAAAGATCTGAATTGAGTACTACTCGGATCAACTAGTTGTTATACGTATGAGATTGACTATGTTCTGTTCTCAAAAACTAAGTTTATTAATTTATGTAAATTGCTCATCTAAAGCTTGACTGTAAGTTATGTACCATTTAGAAGGATAAACTCTTATGAACATAATTCGACAACTTTATATCCAATGAAATTAACGAACTAAAAAGTAGCCCTTGAGTTGTATGAAGAGACGGTTAATGAAGAGCCTTAGATTTGTATATAGGAGGATCTGTGCTTGAGTTATCCGATTTTGTGTACGTGTAAGAGGAACACTTTTAGTCATTTTTTTTAAAACAATAACTTTTTTTTTAAAGATGTAAAATTCATAAGAGAATTATAATTTTTTATAATAAACTTTACGCAACAATAAAGAATGCATTTAAAGAGTGTAACAAACACTTCTCGACGTGAACATTAGTTGGTGGCACCATCAAGATTCGTTTAGCCACAACATTGGTCGGAAAGAAAGGCAAGTAGCTTTAGTTTTATTGGAATTTTCTAGGGATCACTAGAACACAACCAACCATAACTTTCTCAGAATCTTTTAGCCCTAATAAGGCAAGTTTAAAAGCTAATTTCTACCAATTGTCTAATAATTGGTTCCTTTTCTTTCCCCAAGGATTCACAATCACCATAATCGTTATATATAATTTTTTCAATAAAAAGGTATAACTCCTTTTTATTTAATCAACTCTTATAAAAATAAAATTATATATCCAATTGCAACTTTATATTTAAAATAGAATTAAATTTCGATATTTAATTAAAAACTTATTAAATATCAAATAATTAAAATAAAATTATTTGCATTTGTATGTCAATATCAATGTGAATCAATTTATATGTGGCAAAAACTCTGATGATCGATCATTAAAGGTAAGGCCAAAAATTACGAACAAAGATGGTAGATATATAATGCTATGCCTTGGAGGCATCTCTTTTCTATTTTCTTGCACGACCTTTTTGTTAGCATTCATTATGGAACGACGACGTATATGTTTATGATCGTAAAGATTAAGAAGCAATATTCTCCAATTAATTAATTGATTCAAAGCATCAACTATTGAATAATGATCTCAATATATTTGCAACTTAAGTCTATAGCGCCACTAATATGCAATTCCATGAAACTGAGGAATACATAAAAAAATTCTGTATTTTTTTTTTCTTTTGTTTTTTATATATGACAAAATTCATGTCGCATATTATACAACGTGATTAGTATATTATGTCATGAATATGAAAATATTAAACAGTTGTCATTCACTAGAAACATCCATATATAATTAAAGATTATCAAAAACAAACATTAAAAAAAAACTGTTTATAAAAGATTTGTCAAACAATGTCATTTAGGGTAATTAAAAAATTAACATGAGAAAATTTTTCTGGTTTTTTGTTTTTATATATGAGAAAATTAATGTCGCACATATATATAAGACAATGATAAGTATTCTCATAATTTGCTGTTTTTAAAAAATGGAATGTGTACTTACTAGCTATTTACCCTAATCAATGATTAGATTTGTTTAAGAAATTAATACAATACCTATATCTAAGAATATTCCTCCCTTGTTTTTGTCTATGTTAATTGGAACTTTTGAAGGGAGTAAAATTGCAGAAATATAAGGACTAAAAAAAAGTTTTGAATCTTATCATCAATAATATTTATTCTTAATTAATACATGATAGAAATTTAATTTTTTTTTTTTTGGTAGAACTTGTAGTCATTATAATCATATTTCCCTTTCTGGAATTGGATGCGAATAGTAATAGCTCGAAAGAGGTCCCAATGGGATAAATTCAACTTTTCTTTCAAGGCAGAAGATGCCTCCAAGATAGATATGGAAGAAACCCCCCAACAAATTGCATGATTAAAAAATGTTTTAATGGCACATATAGGAGTAATAGAATTCAACTTTTTGCTGAATCATATAGAACTATATGCATTAACCTAGTTCCTTTGGTATATTATTAATCTGTGAAATTAAATAAACTGTATTTTAAGTGTAAAAGCATTTTATATTTATAATCAAATCATAGATCACTAACTTTTATATAACAATTATTTATATATTTATATATAACAGTTATACTCTTTAATCTATTGGCTCCACGTACGTAGTTCCTATTTTATAATTAACCAAGTTATATTATTTATATAATATTTTTTTATAAAGTTATTTTTCGTTATCTTAATTATCACAAACATTAGACTTTCCTCTTCTTATTTTTCCCGTAATTTTAAAATCAATTTAATTTAATTTTTATGTACACTAAGTATAAATTTTTATATATTATAAATTATTAACTAGTAAAAGATTATCCTAAGTATAACTTTTAAAAACCATTATTATAAAAATAAAGAAACTTTTTAGATTAGATGATAGTATACAAAATGATAAATAATATTGATATACAACAAATTCTACAATGAAAAATGGAGAGAATTTAAATGTAACGAATGACACGGAGAAATAGATGAAAAGATAATGACGTCCTACATAGATCAAATCTCTTAAAAAAAAACACTTTTATAACGTGAGTACTATAATTGAATTCAAATCAATTATACAGCCTTATCATACAAAAAAAAAAAAAAAAAAAAATCTTAGATAAGACTATTTCTTATTCCCAAACTGTAGGTTGCATATAGTAAGGAATTAGTTGAGTAATAAGATATATGAGTATTGTAAAAAGAAATTAGTACTCGTATTGATTCTTGTTAATAAAAAAAATAAATTGTAGGTTGTATATAAGAAGCAAGAGTTTCTATTTTTTTTTATAGTAAAAGATAGATTATGATGAACAAGTATGACTATAAGATAAAAACATCTCGCATTCAGTATTATATTTTTGGTACAAAGAATCACATAACACAAGATTAAGCAAAAAGAAACAATTATGAGAGGACATGCACGATTTGTTTTTATTCGAAGCCGTACCAATGATACGACTTAATTTGTTTCCGTATGCATGCATAGATATCGATTCGTTAGAATAGATAGAAAACATGGATCAATCACTTTCAGAAAATTTCTAAACCGACCCAAATATCTGATGGAACATTCTCCTCTTTTCACCTCCTTTCTCCTCAGCCACTCTATCTTTCTCTTTACTCAGTTTGCATAGCAATGTCAACCGTACCAACTCCTGATCAAACCCCTATATAAGCACACCCCATTTGCCTCTAGTTCAAGCACACCTCATACAAAAACTTCAACTACCTCCTTCACACTCCTCACCACTTTCTGTTTGGCATTGTTTCCATAACCCTTTGTTAATTAACCTTTGTGGACTTGACATCACATCACATAGCAGCATATATAATGGATAGGTTGACTCAGTTGGTATCAGAGAGACCAGTGGTGATCTTTAGCAGGAGTTCCTGCTGCATGTGCCACACCATCAAAGCCCTCTTCAGTGACTTTGGAGTGCATCCAAATGTTCATGAGCTTGATGAGGTTCCTAGGGGGAAGGACATTGAGCAAGCCCTTTCAAGGCTAGGGTGCAGCCCCTCTGTGCCAGCTGTGTTCATTGGTGGTGACCTTGTTGGTGGAGCCAATGAAGTCATGAGCCTTCACCTAAACAGGTCTTTGATCCCTATGCTTAGGAGAGCAGGAGCTATTTGGGTTTGAGAAATCATATCTACATGTCTTGTCATAGTGACCTTCTCATCAGGCACTAATAAATATATAATCTGTTTTGGTTGTTACATGTATAATGGTGAGCTTAAGCTTATGTGTAGTGGCCGGCATGATCCATTATAGGATGCACATGTATATTAGTTTAGAGTTTATGCTACTAATTGGTAATAATAAGGCTGGTTAACTTGACTGATAAGGGTGTCATTTGATTAGCCCCTTTTTTGCATCGCATGTAGCCTTGTGCTTTATAGTTAATTATAATAAATTCAATGTAATTTAGTTTGTATGAGTTTTAACAGTTTGTTTAAGCATCATGTCATTGCTAGTGAATAGTGGTTTATCAGCCACAAAACTAGATTCAAAATAAGGCAAAGATTAAGAGAGAGATGTGTTTTCTAAAGCAATAATTGGATTTAGATAACAAAAGAAAAGGGAGGGCACAGAAATGAAAAATAACTTGTTATCTATCTTAGTTGTGTTTCAGTATAGCCATGGTGTGAACATAAAAGAAAATCCTTCCTTCGATCCCTTTTTCCTATTTTTCAGGTAAAACCGAAATCTAAAGAAATTCTCTATGGGGGGGTTTGGTCATCAACTGTGTCACTCTTTGCAAAGTGGCACATTGTAAGACAAAAATCATAGTCCACATGATAAGGCATTAAGGCTTCAAACAGCGTCTTGTTCTTTCACATAGTTGATGAGGGACAACGCACAGAATGGAATAAATCTATTGGTACAGTTGAATGCGACATGTCAATACATGGTTCCTCTGTCACATCATCAAACAGTTATATACCCAAGTTAGAAAAAAGACAAAAGAGGAAAACTAGCTAATTGAGCATATATCATGGAGTTAAAGAGACTCTTAAGTCATATATTAAGGAAAAGTGGCTATATTCTAAAGAAAAATGTACTCTGGATAGGGCCATGGTGGAGTTGGACCAGCTCCAACACTATCTGTTTCCTGGAATTATATTATATAATATTATTCTCAGTGAGAGACAGGTGAAAGTGAAAACCACTAGTTAGTATTAAATTAGGCCACGTAAAAGTCATAACCATATTTTATATATAAATGAATAACAATATCAGTTTTCTACAACTTTTCACCTGTAGACCAAAATACATTCATCTCAAAAGTCAAGATTGACAAGCATTTTATATTCCAGCTGGTCATCAGACTAGCTATGCAAGTGTCACAAGTTTGGATGCCCAGATGATGAATGAAAATTTTTAATTATTTTTTCTATAGAGAAAAGAAAACATTATTTTTTAAAAATGATCTTATCAAACTAGCTAATGCTCCTTTATTATCTTTTTAATATTCTGTTACTTCTGTAGAAAAGGTTACAAAAGTATCTGGTGTCATCCAGGATTAATAGTTTGATACTCAATAGATAGAAACTGATACATGAGCATTTCCAATATTGAATAATTAGAACTTCATTAAAAAACTAAATCTTATTATCGCTTATTTGGAAGTACTTCTAAATATTTTTCTTCATAAATTATAATTAATTTTTAATAAACTAATTTATAAGAGTTCTATTTCATTAGTTCTTTCATAATTTTGTTTTTAACTGTTTAAGTTAGTTTTAGTCCGTGAAAAAGTTTATTTTAATTTTTTGTTTATTTTTTTCTATAAGAAATACTTTTGTATAGACCTATTCAAACAGATCGTATACAAATAAACTTTACTAATTTATTAGAAAAAAATGACTAAAGCATAAAGGAAACTTTAGAACCAAGAAAAATGAAGATCCATTGCTGAGAAAATAGCATCCTTACAGTCCATGTGATTCATGTCTTGAGAATTTTGAACAAATTCTTTAGCTGATAGTATTGTGTTTCCATAATCAATGTAAGCAGTAATTATTGTATTTCGGGAAGCCAAGTTTCTGTTTAGGATTTGTTGAAATAAAGAACATGCCTGCTACACATTTCCTTCTTTCACATAGCCAGAGACCATAAAAATCCTAGACATGGCAACCTTCCCAATAATCTTATTTGAAAAGAAGGGAACAACACAACAATGAGCCTCAGCTAAGTTACCAAGATTACATGGAATTTCAAAAACAAAAACTTTAGCCATTTCATCAAACATCTTCCGTGCATACTCCGTATCACCACTTTTTTTTTTTTTTTTCTATTTATTTAATGCTTATAATTCCTTATAAAAATATTTTATTCTATAATAATTTATTATTTTTTAAATCAATACTTTTAATGTTAGCGCGTACTTTTTTTTATAATATTTATTTAAAAATGCACAAAAAGTTAAAAAAAAAAATCTCAATCCAACTAGATACAACTCTTTTCAACTTATTAAAATATAATTAATTATATGATTAATCATGTAACAAGTTGGTCTTATAGTTTAGGGTTATAAAAAATATTGAAACAAATTGGTCTAACACGGGTGGCGAAGAAGCATGATCTCTCATTCATTATTATTGAAATATAATAAGAACAAAGGACACCTCGAGGGATGTTTTATTTTCTACCAAGACAAGTCCAATCATGAACATGAACAAAAGTGAAATCTGAGAATCAAGAAACAATGAGCACTTTTGCGTTGTTGAACAAAGAAAAGTGATGATTGATTGATGAATCATGGCACGGTCTCCATTATTTGTTTGTGAGTTACGGTGACAATCACAATAGATGCGATCTTCTTCTCTCACTCTCACGAGTCACGAGGCGACGGACACCTGTGCATCCATCAATGCACACTTACCTTTTTCTACCATTCTGTTTAACTAATTTATTAGAGTTTATTTACGTCGTGGTATACATAATTTTTTTTATTCACTTATTTAAAAAAATTATCTTTTTAAAAAAATTATTTTGCTTACATGATATTTCATTAATATTATTTAATAAATAAATATACCATTTTACATTAATCAGATAAATTATTAATTAATTTTGTTAAATATTTTTAATTTATTATTTAATTAAAATATTTTTTTAACTCTTGATTTATACGTTAATTTTATCAAACATATCTTTAATTTTACATTATTTTTTCATTATAATATTAGTTATATTAAGGAAAATATTTATAATAGTTTTTTCAAAGCATTTGGATGACCACTTAAGACAGTAATTAATATGCTATGCTAAAAATATATCCCGGCGTTTCATGAAAATTTGTTTTGTTTTGTTATTTATTTATTTTTGAAAAATGGTCATTTAATTTTAAATTTGAGTTATATTATTATTTTTAAATATGATCATTCATAATTTTGAGAAATAATTTATTTTTTAAATTAATTTAAAATATAAAATTTATCTTATTAAATTTATTTACTTAAAAATAAGGCATAATGTAAAGATCTAATTTTAAAATTTTCAATTGTTTTTCTTTTTACAATTTTTGTTATTTTTATGACTCCTTACTTTAAACATTAGTTGAATTTTATAAACTTCATACAAGTAAATATAGTAGAATAAAAGAAATTAATTCACCTCAAAAAAATTGTTTATTTTATTTTAATAGAATAATTATTTTACGTATTTTTTAAAATTTACCATGCAATCGTTGAATTTTAACTCATTATAACGGTTTAATTATGTCCATTTCATTCTTACAAATAATTAATTAATTAATGATCATTTTGCACATTTTTTGCGCTTACTAACTTGGCGTTGGAGTGTCTATATGTTTATAGATTTAATTTCACACTTGAAATTGTTATTGTTCACCTAAATATTCATCATTATTTAAAACATTATCATGTTCACAAGTACTAATAATTAAAAATTAATTCTCTAAAATATTGTAATCTATTTAAGAAATTAACTTTTTAATAAATATTTGTTTTATACTTATCAATTAGGGATGAAACTCTAAATCATATGTTTAAAAGATAAAATTATTTTATCAATCATGTCAAATTCATTGTTATTTAAATTTTAAAAATAAAAATAAAAATGAATTTTAAATAAATTAAAGATAAAATACTTATAAAAAAAAGATATTGTAGCCTAATTATAAGTTATTATCATAATTAATGCATTATTTAAGTATATCATGTTAAACATCTCGAGTTAGAGTAAGTGTCTAGAAAAAAACATGTTACAAAAAGAATCTCTGTTACAAGTTGTCAACAAAAGATTTGTTCCATGTAAAGCAGATAAATATTTTGTTAAAAAACATGGTTAAAAAAAAATACTAAGCGGTAATTTGGTTTTCTAATGGCACGGCGTAACACAGAAACGACCGAGAAGATCACATCCTATTCACAGTACAATGACCGGTGGATGTGGATCTCTCTCTCACACACAAGACGACAAAAAACTGCTAAAACAAGTGGAAAGTGGAAATGATCTAGTCTGTCTGTAATATGTTAGTACTCAGTTAATGTGATCTCTCTAAGTGTGTGTTTCACCGCTTCCAGCTCATTTTTCCATTATTCACTTTGATTTTGTTGTTGTTGGGATTTTCATCATACGGTGCCGTTTGGAGCTTATCTTTCTTTCCTACCAACTTTCTTAGGAATCAACACCCTGGACTTCGTGAGCTAGAGCTTTTTTCTCACTGTCCCAATGTTGTTCTTTTCTTTGTACCATTTTCATCAGGGTTGATTTTCAGTTCTCCTTGTTTTCTGGGCAACTGAAAAGGAACCATCTTGATTTGCATTCTCAGTGGGAAAGTCTTTCACTTTGAGGATAATGTGGTCACCCTTTTTGGAGTTCTAGTGTTCAGTTGATTCTTCGTATAGTGGGTGCTCTGCTTTGAGTTTTGAAGAAGAAATGTTCGGGTTCTCTCGTAAACATATGAAACTTGGCAGGTGAAGAATTTTACCTTTCTTTTTTGTTCTTTCAAAGTTTGGATTTTTTTTAGGGTACCGATAGTTCTTTCTAGGGTGCTTTTGGTAAACATGTTAACTAAAGGTGTTTTGAATAAGTGTTTATAATGTAATGTGATTGCTTATTTAAATTGTTTCTACAATTGATGATTAAGCTATTTTCATGAGTTGTAAGTTAACTTTAAAAGCTATATTTAAGGGTTTATTGAAATGAGTTAAATGCAGATTATAGACATATCATATGTTTTTTCAAATAATTAAGCAAATGTTTATGGGTATTGTTGGATAAGCTTCTCCAAAAGCATTTCTAGGTTGAAATAAGTTTCTCTGACTCTAAGCTAAAACAGTTAAAAATAAGATTTCTGAGAAGTTAATAGGATAGAACTACAAATTAGTTTATGTGTAAGTTAATTTTAACTTATGAAGAAACTTATAGAGAAATTTCCCCAAACAAATATTTCGTCATTGTAAATAAACTCTTCCAAAAGCACTTGTATTGATGGTTTATTGTCGTTTTGATTGTTTTCTCAGTAGATTGAAGGTCCAGCTTTCTGACACCACCCAGGGAACTAGAAGTCCCATTAGGCACCACAAGCGAAATGTAAACTCCAATGTGAGTTTTTCAGATTCATTACTTGTGTTGGATAGAATTTGAAACAATCTGTGGCTTGTGGCCACTGATAAAGCTTATTTCAGGGTGATGGAGTTGCAGGGATAAGTGGTCATTCTGAGGAAATTGATTGCCAGTTTTCGTCTGCTGCGCCAGAGATGCGTACTTGTACATCAGGAAGCTCAGAGAACTGGATGGTGCTGTCAATTGTAGGGGATAAGCCCACTCCTAGATCATATGTACGTAATTTTGTGATTCGTGTTGATTTTTTGTTTGATCCTGGGTATTTTGTGGAGGATTTATGACTTATGAGCAGTTACGGCAAAAGACTAACTATTATTATTTGTAAATAGCATGCTGCAGCTGTCATTGAGAATAAGATGGTAGTGGTTGGTGGTGAATCTGGGAGTGAATTGTTAGACGACGTGCAGGTGAGGATACATTTCTTGTTTTGGAATTGGAAGATTTATGATAGGGATATTGTTGCTATATATGAGCATCAATGTTAACTAATTATTTGGTTGTTGGCTTATCACACAAACTGTGATCTGGATACATTTTATTTTTATTTTCAGGTGCTAAATTTTGACAGATTTTCATGGACCACAGCATCGTCTAAGCTTTACTTGTCACCAAGCAGTCTTCCACTAAAGATTCCAGCTTGCAAGGGGCATTGTTTGGTAATTTAATTTATGGTTTTAACATATTTTCAGCATGTTGACATGTTTATTTGTATTCTATCTAAGTGACCTTGATAATGCTCTCATCATAGACATGGAATAACAAGTCTGTTTAAGATGAAAAATTGAAAATTTCATGGACCTGAATTTGTACAAAATAAAAGGGCCACCATTGCATGTCCAATTGTAGTGTTCATCAGTAAATTGTGGCCATTATAAATGAGCTGCTTGATGATACAACAAATCAAATGTCATTTGGAATTGATAACATCTTTCCTATATTTCTATTTTATACACAGCATTGTCATGTTGGTGCTTAGCATGGTATTATATATTCTCTTTTTCTTGGAAAATGTACTTCTTTTTTGGTGTGGAGAGAAGAGCGG